CGCCATCACTGCCCTATGCTATTTCAGACAAATGGCTGTCCAGTCTCTTTTTAAAAACCTCCAGTGTTGGAGCATTCACAGCTTCTGGAGGCAGGTTGTTCCACTGATTAATTGTTCTAACTGTCAGAAAATTTCTCCTTAGTTCTAGGTTGCTTCTCTCTTTGGTTAGTTTCCATCCGTTGTTTCTTGTCCTGCCTTCAGTATTAGCATCAATTGACTTCTATAACTTGTATCTTCTTGTGCACAACTATTATTTGGCTTCTGGATATAAAAGAATAAAGTAAAAAGCAACATAAAAAGGGATTTTTTCTTTCTCTCAATACTGTATATAACAGTGTTGAACCATATATTAAATATTAATTTTTGTTTTATTTTTTAAAATTAGCTTTGTGAACTCATGCTTGAGTGCTTCATACAAAATTGTTTTGATTTTTTGCCTTTAATACACTCTTTAAAGATGCCTTTAATAAACTTTTAATACATAGATGGCTACAGAATATTTTGCACTACATTCTCTATCAATGATTTGTTTTTCCACTTTAATTCTAAAACAGCTACTTTTTAGTTCAAGATTCCAGTATCAAACCCCGCCAACATCGCTGTCCTGATTTTTTAACAAAAAATCCAGATCATTGGCTTGTCTAAGTTTATCCTATTTCACAAGAGCAGACATACAGTGTGCGAGTTTTAGGATTATAGATGTTATTTAGATTGCACTTAAATTGTTTAACATATGTGACATTTGTGGCTATGAACATCTTCAGCTGAAGCTATTATTTCAAAGCAAGAGTCAAAGCTGGATTAGTCATTAGATGGTATTCTGATACTGTTTTGAATGAATGGTAAGAATAGGGAGCATTTATTGATCCATGTGTTTCTTACTCAGCCTACACCTAGTTGTTAGACCCATGCCAATTCTCAGTGTGAAACTCTGATACAGAGAAATGATATAGGACTAGATGATTGTTACAGTAGGGAAGATTATAGGTTTAAATAAATGTCTTAATTCTGACAGACATTTTCCTTTCCACTAATCATACCTACTATGTAAAATTTGCATATAAATATTTCTGTTAGGGCACAATTTTTATTTCAGATTCTGTTATAAAGCTAAAGCTATACTAGCATATTTTATCATCAGTCATTGCTGGTGCAAAGTTTTTACAGTTGGCAAAAATCTCATTTTCATCATGATTCTACTTTGATAAGTGTTTGTTGAAAACTTGTATAAGTCACTGTATAGGTACATTCACAATTTATTTCAATTTTAGTGATCTCTTGTATAATTGCTACTGAAATATATACTCTTTAAATCTTTTCTACATATATTATATTGGATAAAATCTTACAAAACTATTTATTACTTATCATTAAGTAATTTTCAAAGTGAATATTATAATAGTTAAGTTACTATTTTTTATTTCCTTTTAGTACTTGCATCAAAGAAGGAAAATGGAATACTTTCTTTGAAAAAATTGTATTAGTGGGATTTATCACAATTCAGAGTCTCTAAAAAAGAAACAAGACCAAAAATATAAATGCTGTTTTCCAAATTATTTTGCCTGAAGTCTTCTAGTTTGAGAAAAATGGCAACTTTCAAGTCAATTGTGAACATTTGATATTATAGATTAAAATGCGTTAACCTTTAAAAAATAAATTCAGTGTTACATCTAAAAAATTTCTTTATTAATTTGTTATATTCTAAAAGTTATCTACTATTCTGTTTTCAGTGTGTCTTTGTCAATTATCCTGAAATGTAACAGTTCATAGTAGTCTAATATACATAAAAATAACCTTCTCATGTATATATTCTAGTGATTTTCTGTCTATATTCAGTTAATCTATTTGGGGAGTCAGAGGAATTCACATAATAATAAATGAATGCTGATACTATCAGATGCAATAAAAATATGAAAATTATCCAATATAATTATAAATGATAGGGAAGCATTTGGTTCCTTAGTAATGGCAGTCGAGAATAGGAGAGCCTTTGCTAAAGTTTGGGTGTGCACCCAGTTAACTCCCTTTCCTGGATCAAGAAGCCCTTCAATTACTCATGCCCTGGTCATCTTCCAGATGGACTGCTGCAATGTGCTCTACCTGAGACTACTCTTGAAGACTATCTGGAAGTTGCAACTGGTGCAGAATGTAGCGATATAAGCAGTTCTGGGCTAGTGTGGCACATGCAGTACCTCTGCTCTGTGAGCTGTGCTGAGTGCCAATTGGTTTCTGGGTCCAATTCAAGGTGTTGGTTATTACCTTTAAAGTCCTTAATGGCATGGGACCAGGGTATCTAAGGTGCCTTCTTGTCCCAATTATATCAGCCCATTCCAGCTGGTCAAGCAGGGAGGGCATGCTGTGAATCCTGTCAGTTAAAGAATTTTGACTGGCAAGATCTAGGAAGATGGCCTTTTTTGCTATTTCCCCTGCTTTTTGGAACATTTTAGCCCAGAGGTGAGGCGAGCGCCCCACAGTTCTGGTTTTCTTAGCTACGCCTCTTAGCATAAGGATTTAAGATTATTATGCAACCCTGGGAATGACTGGTGGCTTGAGGGCTCTCCCTCAGTCTAGTTAACCTTTAGCCTCATGAATTTTTAAACTTTAATTTTCACTTTTAACTTGTAAATTTTAACTTTGGGTTTAATTTTGTTTTTAACTTTGTTTTTAGTCATATTTTATATTGTTTTATTAGATTGTTTGTAAACCGCCTAGAGTCACACATGTGAAATGAACAGTATAGAAATTTGATAAATAAATAAATAAATAGTATGCCTCAGTAAAATGAAATTCTGATTCTAGATAAAAGTTTCTCATCAAAAAAGATTTTACAACAGTCAGTACCAAGTATTTAATGTTACCAAAATCTTCTCTTTACCTTACTGCAGCATTTGATATTCTATGTTGAATGAAGAATAACAATGTCATTCTATACACATCTGGCCAGACTGAATTCCATAAAATTTATTCCTAGGATTATATAACATGGTGGGATAATAAACCTCTTACTAAGGGATGATTTACATCAGTATGATGCTTTATGGTTAACATGAATGCAAATACACGGTCATACAAAGATTATTTTGAGCAAGTAGTTTTATATGCTGTCATTTTTTAAAGTTGTTAAGATTCCATCTGAGATTACATATCTCATTATAACTTGTCATTATAGATGTAAACCTGAGTGAATGACAGCATAAAGATATTTATGAGCATGGCCTAATTTGTTTGGATAAGTAGTTAACACATGCAAACATTTTTACTCAAAACCAAGGCCCATGAATAGATTTGTATATGTCCTACAGGAATTTCCATGTATTTTGAAAAAGTTACCATATTGGCATGGATGAGAAAATGCTTTATAAAAATGCATTATGAACATCAGATTTAAATCACAGAGCAGTTGGGCATCATAGAAAGAGAACAAAACAATACATTTCTAGTTTGAAATAAACTATGAACATTTTTTGGGGGAAAAATACATCTCCAAATACCTATGTTTAAATTATATTTAAAGAAATAGGCTAGAAACAGATACAATAGTTTGATTCTGACTTGTTTGAATTAACCATACTTTCAATTAACTACAATACTCCAGATTTAGATATAACAGGAAGTTATAAGTGGAGGCAGATGTTTCTTTCCTTCTCCCCTGAGATGCTGCAGAAGCATACAGGAAATGCAAGTCTGAGTTTCTTTACACACAGAGAAATCCTGAATCCTTAGATACACTACTTTTCACAGATCTAAATAATAAAAAGTGCTTAACATTAAAATGAAGATGTACAAAACTGGAAAGTGTAAAGATGTAAAAATGTAATCAAGAAATATACACTTAAATACATACACTCACAAGCAACTGAAAAATATTATTTTTGTAGAACCAAGAGACCAGACAGATAGTCTGCTTAAATTGCCATTATGCTTAGGTCCAGCATTTATTAAAGATTCCATTCAAAATAAATTTTATCATAAAAATGTTATATTTTTGTACCTTTGTAGATTTTCATAAATGTGCATTTCAAAAATGCACAAGAGGTTAGCAATATTTTGATAATCTAATTTAGGATTATCTATTACTTCTAATTTAAGGGGAGTTTGGGAAAGAAGTTGCAATTTACAATTTAAAAAGAACTATGAACTATTAATAATAAAGAAATAGCATGAAACAAGAAGTCATTACAACATATAACACTGCTGAAACTAACCTTAGAGCTAGAAGAAACCCACTTGAGAAGTTAAAACCCAAAGCTTTTAAGAAACAAACAAACAAAAAATCTTATAATGCATCTCTAAAAAAATTGTTTCTATCATGAACATATACCTTGAAAAAACATCCAAACAGTATTCTAGTTTATGTAAACATTCAATTTACAAAAAAGGGCAAGCTTTCTGCAAAATCTTACTGATTTGCAGATTTTAAATTGACAAATAAACATTTCAGAAAAATTAATTATATCTGACCATATTTTTCTTCAAATATTTCCATTAAAAGACTGAATAGACATTTGCCATACACTCATGCTCTCTCTCTTGCATATACATACACCAAACATATATTTAATAAAAAGCAAGAAATATTAATTAAAAATCCTTAACCATTTTCAATTGTTCAGTTTAAATCTCTTTTTTTAATGCCATAGCATGAGTTAAGAGGCACTGGACATACTGGGTATCCAACCCATCTGGTATGCCCGTTCCAAGGTCCGCTTGCAATCTTGTAGCACTGTACTGAAGGTGATATGTGGGTGTTGCTGTACCAGTTGTTCCACAGTCACTTCACTCACCTACATGTAAAAGAAATAATTTTATATATTATTTATTACTAATATCACATGTTGTCCTTTAATCTCACTCTAAAACATGACACACTAAACATGACATACTAAACAAGAATATGGCTATCTTTTCAAATACAGAATTGTGTTTGTATTTAAAATTATCAGAAAATTTTTTGGAGCAATATCCTTCAAAGTATTAATAATTTGCCTAAAATGAAACAAAAGTAAAACAAGTCTAACATCCCAAGCAAAGAAGCTCCAAAGTATGAATAAGTATGGGCATGGGTAGGTATGGTCAGAGGCTGGGAGTGGGCTCTGCAAGGAACATGGGCCCAGTGCCTTATAAAGAACATGGACCTAATAGGTTCATAAGAATGAAGGTACTGATATTGGATCACAAGAACCAGAATTTTGAATTGTGCTACCATCCGAAGTCAATGGATTTGGAACAAAGTTGATGTAGTATAAGCATGCATACATTAAAAGACAATTTATCCACTACATTTTAGATATATTGGAGTTTCTGAACACTCTTTAATTGCATCTTCAGATAAAATTCATTGCAATAATACACTGTAGTCATAACTAACATCTCCAGAAAAGAGCACAATAACATGAAAATGGGTAACATAGCAGCCAGTTGGGCTTCCAGCAGAAATACTGGGTAGAAAAATGTCCCTAAACTCTAAACTTCAGAATGATTGTAATACTATCTAGATAGGCTGTATTGTTACAACATTCAAGCAAAAGCTATTTATGTATCTGAATATATGAATCTGAATCATATATTTTAGCTGTCAATAAAAAACCCATCTCTTCATGAGAAGGGAGGGCAATTTTGCCCCTCCCCCCACATTTCTCATTGCAAAAGAATTAAAATCTTTCCTCTGTAATAACCGCAATCATCACAATCAATAATTAAAATGTACAGCTTAGAAGGTCAGAAATATCTGTACTAGACCTTAACCAGAGATATTACCTTTATTCCTCTATCATACAAAGCAATCAATAAGGTCTAATTAAACTTAACATCTCTACAACTGCAGTGCTGTGAAGGGATTAATTTGTCAATTATTTTTAAGCTGATTGTAGTTCATATCACAGAGCCAGACAGCTTCCATCATTCTTTAGATTAAAAAAACTAGATTAACCTAAGAACATGACTTCTAGGTAACTTTCCTTAGAATTTTTTATTGAATTTTAAAATACATCAATATTTAATTTAAATACTCTTAACAGTGTTCCTTTGTCACAATTGTTCACTTTGTACTTCTTTATTGATGTTGAACTAAAATAGATTTACATGTTCAAGGCATTTTCCATTCTTACCACAAATATATGTTTAATTTTCTTAAAATCCTTGGATGAGGGTATGTTAAAAAACAACAGACTCTCTTCAAATATCTCTTTACTATTGTTATTTCCCCCCCCCTCTCCCCGCCCTCAGTCCTACTGCCCTGAGCAAACACCAAACTGAAGCAATTGTGCTAGGCAGTGCAGAGAATGAACAGTGATTGCATTTTATGACAGGGATAAATGACGGGTTTAATCTATAGTTCTTCTGCTTTGATAATAGAAACATTCAATCTTCATTGGGAGATTTGTCAACTGAAGAGCAACTTGGATAGAAAATTGGTTTAACTTCTATTTCAAGTACACAGAGACCCTGCATGCCCTAAACACTTTTGTAAACAACTATATTACAGCAACACTGAATGTGTCCAAAAAACAGGAAGTGCCTTTTAATCAATAAGAATGAAATCTGTAATGGTACAAGCTCTATGGCAGCTCAGACATATCAATAAATTATATTTTAAAACTGACCAGAAATGTTACTGCAGTATGTGGATGATCACATAAAGCCGATATTAGCCTTTGCCAATGTTGGCATCTTCCAGATGTTGAAACTGCAACTTCCAGACTTCTATGAAAACATGATACTTTTGTACACTGTGCAGTAATTTTAGCAAATATATTGCTTATATATGTGTGTGGGCCCTATCATACATAATAGTTGCAAAAGCAGAAGAGATGTTAATTAGATAGGCCTATAGACTTTGGTCATCCTGAGTATGTATCACAACATTGTACTGTATGTACTTTCTGGTTAATAGGATATATGCAGTGATGTTCTGGTTTGCAAAGTAGTCTTTAAATTAGAGATCTTAACTTGCATAGAAGAGTGTGAACATATTTCATATAAAATTGGGTTTAGGTTGAATGTGTGAAATACTAGCCAAAATGCTCCAAAACGAAGAGATAGTATCCTGTTGTAAAAACATGGATGAGAAAAAAAATAGAAAAAAATAGCTGCAAATAAGGATAGTCAAAATGTTATATACATGAACTAGTATGAACAGTGAACAACACATTTTGCATGAATGGTGCCTGAACACAAACACTAGTTTTGGATGTTTTGTTCTGTATACAAGATGAAATGGGTTTGTTCTGAGCAAAAGTGATTGGGAGTGGGGTGTAACTGAGGGAAAAATCCAAATATATCAACAGCTGATCAGAGGGAGGGGAGGCACTAGAAAGTGGATAGGCCAGAGGGATGTGCTATGCTATGTTTACTGTGCACACTTCAGTAGGGAAGAGGGGCCTGGACTAGCACATCAATAATTTGAGTTGATTCAGGCAAAGGAGAAAAGGAAGGCCACGAGCAACCCGAAGAGTAAGCTGGTGATGGGATATGCTATGCTGGAAATTATTGAAGGAAGTAGAAAAGTGATACATATCAACCTTACTCTACTTGCTGAATAAAATTATTCAGGATCCCTTCAGATTTCATTGCTGGCTTTCTTTTTTCAGAACAATCATATAAGAGTTCAGCAAAACTGGAATGTGATCATTTGTTCTGAGTTCTAAAGAAAAAACGTCCCCTCAAGTTGCACAGAACATGGTCAGAACAGCAAAGAATGGCTAAATTAAAAGAAGCAGATAGAATGCAGAGTGCTTGTGATGAAAATAAAAATGTTGGCAGAATGGTAATTGGTCTGTTGCAAGGAATGTTTCTCAAAAGAGGCAAAAACGGGTGTATACAAGCACATTGTTCTATGTACTTTGTAAGACAGGAGATACATAAAAGCTGAATGCAGTGAGAATAGGCTACTTAGAAAGCGTGTGTGTACTAAAACAGAAAGAAATATGAATGGGCATTGAATGAATGTGGACTGAATGCAAAAGTGAATAACAAGTACAAAAGAAGTACATTAAGGTGATTTGGCAATATAGGGGAGTAAATGAGAAAATGAGGGAAAATATATTAAGGAAGAGTGAGAAAAGTAAGACTGAAAAAAGTCAAATGGTGAAATCCTCAAAATCAATGAAATTTGTAAACAATAAAAGACAATATACGTGAAGTGATGCACTGCCAAATGAAGCAATTGTACTAGTTAGTGCAGAGGATGAATGTGGATTGTCTTATTACTTGGATGTTCTTTCATGGCAAAAGACCAAACCAAACTAAATACTAATTGCAACAAGCAGCTGTAACACACTAAATATAAGTTTATTGGGAGAATTTAATATTAGAAATCCTGGTTATCATATTTGTCTGGAATCTCCTACTATATATCAAGTATCAGAGAGCATATGTATCAATTAGTATATCATGTGTACAGTTCATAACTGCGAACTTTAAGATTTGGCTCTATCCCATCCTCCAACCTGATGAATACTGATGAATATCAACTTATTTGAACTAATACAGAAACCTGAATTTATGGGACTTGTGGCAACAGACAGCAATGTATAACATAGAGACCAAAATAAACTACTTTATGACCCAAAATTGGCCATGTATGTCAAATAAAAGCACTGGTGGTATTTATTGAAATTCTACAATTCACAGACAAAATCAAACCATATTCTTATTCCAGAACCTGATTGTAATAACTTATGTTACAATATATCAGTTTTGTTTTATGATTTTATATGGCATTATATTGTTTTTGTTACTTTTATTTTTTGGATTGGCTTCACCCGGAATCTTGTATGGAGATGGTCAGCTATACAGATTTGACAAACAAACAAATAATCCTGGTGAACTATTTATACGTTTAAAATATCCACTATTCAGATTTCCACTGTTTAGAAACCTTTCATATGTCCTTTTCCTTCTTTTCAATGGGTTTAACAGGTTTATGTGTTCTATATTCTGAGTATTATTTTCTCAATTATTTTTAAGTATATTTTTTAACTTAATAGTTGAATGAACAACATTCTCAGGTGGCCTAATTATAATTCCTGCCTGTAGCTACAACATAATAAAAGGTTTGTGAAATCATTCTGTGTGAAGTGCTAGGCACTTGATCTATTCAGCTGAGATGTTCCACAAAGTTTCAGTGATTACCTCAGTGCTGAGGGCTTAGGGTAGTTGAATAATACACTCACAGAAAAACATCTGCATCCTGGATTTTCTAAGTGTTAAGACACTTCAGTTTGAATTATGGATTAAAAACAATAAAAATGGACTAAGTGACGGCACCTTATAAGGCTAGCAACTACCTGAATACTGAGGCATTATTTTTGTCAAAGTGAATTTATTCAGACCCATTTCTTATATATTATTCTTATGAAGTAGATCGTCATTTGCATGTTCTGCCTTAGACTGCATTACTAAAGTCTGTATGCAAAATAATAAATGAAGGGGTTGTTTCTCTCACAGCTTAATTCATTCCCAAGTGGTTAGCTCAATCACCTGATCTATATGGTACCCTATTATTTGAAGGGAGTATCTGGTATAACTCCCATATTACAAAATTAAGTAAGAGTGAAATGTTAAACTAGAAATATTGTACTAGTATTAAACTAATAAATTGGAAAAAGTTACTAATAGAACATTATGAATACAACCTGTCTATGTAACTAACTGCCCCAGTAGAAATACTGTGTGTGTATATATATATATATATATATATATGGCTAGAAATAGAACTAAAAATCCGACTCTTGGGTATGTCCATATTATGTCGAAATAACCACGATCACCAAGAGGAGATAAAATATTTAAAAGCAATTAAAAAGTTTAAAAACAATTTAAAAGCAATAAAACATTGTTAAAAATACAGGCAACCAAGCTTTCATCGGGCCCTCCCGACATCATCAGGGTTGATGAGGCGGTTTTGGGGAGGGTTTATATGCCGTTTTCAAGTGCCTGCATCCGGCTACGTGACCGCGTGACCGGGCCCCGGTATATGCGCTCCTGCGCGATGCATGTCTTCCTTTTACCCGCATGTAGATGTTTTGCCTTCTTTTCCTGTTTACTACTATGAGGCCCTTGGATGTCTCCGTCAGGGATCACCTGGGGTTCTTCCTTGCATCTCTCATCCACCTCAACCCCCTCACCCTTCCCCTCAAACTCATCCGTCCCGCGAGGAAGAACCCCAGTCAGGAAGCAAGGAGAGATTGAAGGGGAAGGGAAGGAGATGGAAGGAAGGAAGGAAGGAAGGAAGGAAGGAAGGAAGGAAGGAAGGAAGGATGGATTGATTGATCGATCTTTGGAGAGTCATGTTTTTCCAGATGGTGATGAACTGCAACTCCCAGCATTCCCCACTCTTCCACAGTGCTTTTTAGGGCTGCTGGGGATGGTAGTCCAGTAAGGTCTGGAGACACACACAGATGCCCTCCGATGGTGAGGGAGGCGGGCCGGGCGGTGCAGGGGAGGCTCCGGCGCGGCACGGAGGGTGGCTGGGGGCAGAGCGCGGCCGGGCAACCAGGAGGCGTGGGGATCGGCTCGGCGTCGCAGCTCAGCTCAGCTCAGCTCAGCCAGCAGCAGCAGCAGCAGCGCGTTGCCCGAGCAGGGCGGGAAGAGAGGAGGTGGTGGTGGCAAGTCATGAAAGCAGCATCCACACGTTCAGGGTGCAAACGCCTTGGACGGTTTGGCTCCCCCACCCCTTTATTTATTGATCTGCCACAAGCTCGTGCAAACAAGCCCCGAGGAGTTCGGAACGAGCAGTTGTTTAAAAAAAAAAAAGCTTTCAGCAACAAGGCAGAAAGGGGAACTCGCTCACGGCTCTTTTTTCCCCCTTTCTCGGCGACTGGGAAGGCAGCAGCCAGAGACGCCGCTTCACAAAGGGAGGCGGAGAGAGGGGCGAAGGGGAAAACCTCACTCAACTTTCGCCCTTGTCAGACCCGGTTCCCTTCTGGTCGACCCCCACCCACCCACCCGCCCCTTCACCTCCCGCTACAGATCGACGCTACCCCTCGAGAGTATTTCGCCAGGCTTTTTTTTTTACCTTGGCCCTGTGCTTCTCCCAGATGGAAGCCAGGCAAGAGGACCTGAAAGACGCCGAGCTACCTTGCCAGCGCCCGCCGCTGCCCCGCTAGCCTCACCTTGGCCACCGCCCATTTGGTGCGGCGGCAGGCAGGCCCAGGCACTCCTGGGCGGCCATGGCAAGCAGCAGCGACGGCATAGGCCGACCACCAGCTGGGCCACCAGCTGGCCCAGCCCAAGGGAGGTAAGCCACCCGCCGGGCCCCACGCACGCCAGCTACCCTCCCAGCACCCGCCGCTGACCCGCTAGCCTCACCTTGGCCACCGCCCGTTCGGTGCAGTGGCAGGCAGGCCCAGGCGCTCCTGGGTGGCCCTCCCACCCCGGCCCTCTTTTACTTACATTTAGTAGTTGCTCAGCAGGGAGGGGTGGAAACTTCCAGAAAGCTCGCCTTAGCTGCAGACAACGTGCAGCAACGTTTACCGACTGGGACTTTTGGCGGGCTCAGCAGGGCAAAGACAGCCTGGACAATTCATATTGGCTTTTGAAAGCCAATAGAATTAGACTCTATTCAAGAGAGTCTATTCTATTGGCGTTCGAAAGCCAATAGAATAGACTCTCTTGAATAGAGTCTATTCTATTGGCTTTCAAAAACCAATAGAATAAGAGGGAGTAGCACAGCTCATGAAAAAGGGGGGAAAAATGCCAGACTGCGTTTCATAAGGATTCTATGAGGAAAAACTCCAGGACTTTGGCGACCCCTGTGAAATGGTCGTTCGACCCCAAAAGGGGTCGCGACCCACAGGTTGAGAACCGCTGTTCTAGAAGAATACTACTCTCAACTAAGTAAGGAGTCATGCAATATTTTCATACTAGAAACCTTACTCATTCAGACAGCAAAAGCCTACAGTTCTTAGATCCACCTTTTTTGATTAAAATTTCTATTCTTCCTTAGTGGAATAATGACTCGACAGGACAATAAAACAATATTTTACTTAATATTATTATCAAGCCATTTTGCTCCTTAAAGTTGTTGTGTCAACTGTATGAAAATCAAAAGAACTACACTAAAGGAACTTGATGAAAAAGCAATTAATCTGATTATTTTCATAGTGGGGATCAATAGCAATAACCACTAGTGGAATCTGTCGCCCAGAACCAGTTATATAATCAATGGAATTAAGCAGAGGCTGGATTTAGCCAGCTCAGCAATTTCTCTGGATTAGTTAGGACTTACTAATTCTAAATTTACATGAAGTACACATGAAAAAGACTCCAAGGACATTATGTCATAAAATAATGTTTTGGGGAGAATATTGGAATCTTTTGCTATATTTTCCTTATAGTCATTGTGTTGATTCTTCCATATCTGTTAACATCACATAAAGGGAAATGTCTATCTGGTATAGCAACTTATTCAATATTTTGGAAAAGATTAGAAGGTGAAAAATTGAACCCAAATGTACTTCTCATCCAAGTGCGTGGTTGAACATATTTTAGTCACAATGGCATTTAATAACCTTTCCTATTTGCCAAATATTACTGTAATGATGTTCTAAAAGCATTAGTTGGAAAAATAAATGAATTCTGCATGAAATATGAAAAGTTAAGGAAGAAAAGTTCTCTACTTTCTGACTATGAAAGAGGAATGAAACTCTTAAGCTGCCAACATTGCATCTAAAACATTTAAAATTCAGGATACAGCTTCTGAATTTTGTTCTTTTTATGGCTATTTTTCAGCTTTCCCTTGCACACAGAGGTTTAACAAGCAAGTTAAATGACCCCCAGTGGTGTCTCTTATGCCACACTTTACAGCATTCTCATCAAGATAGCCAATATATATTTCCCCATTAATCAAGAACAGTTTTCCCTACTTGCTTTGTAGCACTCTCACAGATTCTTATTCTTGTTAGCTTAGTTGTTTCCCTTCACAGCATGCAGTTCTTTTTGTAGCAAGTCAGGAAAACATAAGCAAGTAATTAAAGGAGTACAAACAATACTGTATATAGATTATACATGGTTTAACTGATGGCATACTAAAATCTGTTTAAAACGCCAAGATCATTGAAATTTTTGGTACTTCAAGGGAGGACATAGACTTTTTTTTAAAGCTTCCTTTATTGTATGAGCAAATTTAATTATACCCACAAAATATATGTAAAATTGATTTGATAATTGAAAGCCTAACTTAAATCCAAGAAATTAAGCAGATATTTTTAGCACTATTCATCAAATAAGACTCTCAGATAATGGCAGTTTTCATTTAGCAACTGACTTATATAGTGACCATTTTGCAGTACAGTGATGGAAAAATAATTTTTCAACCAATCTTTGCATTTATGATCTTTGCAGGTTCGTAAAGCCAATGTAAGAGCATAAGCATAGTCACATTTTCACTTAATGATTGCCTTCCTTAATAATCAAGTTGTTGGTCCCAGTTGGGGCTGCTAAATCAAGGACTATCTGTACTTTGGTTGTCTTGCCTCACAAAATATTCAGGTATAAACTAGTATGCTCTGTAAACAAATCGCACTAACAAAATAGTTGTTTCTTTAGAATTCTTTAGAATTTTTTTAAAAGTTTCAATTTGTTTTTAAAAGTAAAAAAATGTAGTACAAAGAAACATTTTAATGTTTTTCTGAATAAGCAAGAAATAGTCCATGATGTATGGAAAAATTAATAATATATAATGGTTATACTGTATTTATATCATTTTAAGTAAATATATTAAGTTTCTTGTTTTTAAAATGATGAGTTACGAACAAGAAATGTGAGGCAAAATTAAGACTTTTACAGTCATACATTTTGTTCTTTTTGGGGGTCAGGGCATATTTTTAGATTTTTATTTTAAATCTAAGCAGATTGTTATATTAATGAATTATATATAACAATCAGACATAAATGAGAAAATTCAGAAAGTGAAACTATGTAAAACTATGTTAGCATCATAACTTCAATATTAAACAACCAGAAAGGACCAAAAGATCACATATAGAATTTGCATTTACTGTCTTGCTTGAATAGATTAAAAAATGTGCCTTGTAAAACACATGGGGATGTCATATCGGTTGTTTATACAATGTTTCTTACCTTATCACATCTCATCAGTCCCAAGTATCGAAGTGATTTACTAGTCTGAGCAATCTGGGTGGCTCCCTGATCTGTAATTTCTTTGCACCATCCAACATCAACTGTCTCTATTGTCATACTGTATCTTCCAATGGCTATCAGTGCTGTAAAACATCAGACAAGCCAGACCCAGAAATGAAACATAAATCAGACAAGCATTTATTTTATAAATACATGCAGAAATATTAAAGCAAACATTATAAATATCTACTCTTGAAGTTCCTTTGTTGTACTTTGATCGATTTACAATATTTGTACATATATTTATAAACAAAGAACTTTAGCCACTTTTTCTCTTTAAAAACCGGTTCCGGTTCGCGGCGCCAGCGGACGTGCAGAGAGAGCCCTCTCTCCACCACCCGGTTTCTCTCCGTCGGAAGACCCTGGAAAGGGTCGAAAGTCGCCCTGCAGGGGCGACTACCGCTGAGGAGGACCCTCGCTAGATCGCGGAAGGGCGGCAGCTCCTTTGGACCATCGGAGGAAAGATCGGCCATTAACATGGCCGATCACCAAGCCGTGCCTGCCGAAAGCCAAACTCACAACTAAGCACAACGAAGCACCGGAGGATTTGGGTGAGACTCTTCCTTTTCTCTCTCTTACCCCAACTACCTTCTTGTGAAAGCTTCCTGAAATTTTCCCCCCGCTTCTAACACGGCAGCATTTACTTACTCTGGGAAATCAAGCTTTGGGAAAAAAAAGAACAGCTAAGCTAAATAACTAAATAACTGGATTTGTATCTTTTGGATGCATTGGGGTCCCCAAAGCTCCTATTACAGGGATCTATTATCTCATCTATTTCTTAACTTGTGAAAAAACATTTTTGGATAATAGTTTAATTGCTCTCTGGAAAAAGATTTTATAGTCTATTGGTGACATCTTGTGGCAAAACCTGATACAATTGAACTTTTTTTGACTGTGAGGTCAATGGCCTTCACATTATCTAAAAAAGGTAAAAACCTGAAACAGCTGGGTGGTAAAAACAACCTCTAGGAATAGTGGAGGTGGACATTTGTTGACTTTTATCAAACATAGCCTCCACTAGAATATTATCTCTAACCACCACAGAAATGGAGGAATTCTACCCACAACTCAACTATAAACTTATACTTGAAAAAATCCTTGAAGTCACTGAGCTAATGAACTCCAGAGTGAAACACAAAGATGTCACCTTAAAATTACAAAGGGAAACTCAGACTTTAACTGATGAACTTACAAACCAAAAAACAACTGAAGTGGAACCAATTAACATCAAAGACCATTCTACACAACAACAAATACAACCCATGGAGAATCTTGACAAGCAAATCTTGATTCCAACTAAAGAACTTGTAACCGAAAAAGCAACAGAAACTGAAGAAAACAACATTAAGATGGAAATACAATATAATGAGAACTTAGACAACTTTGACAATCAAACAACAACTATAACTCCGGATATGACCTTCTACTTAAGCCTTCTACTTATGAAATTGGAAATAGAAGAAGACCTGACTGAATTGATGATAAACTTCTTAAATCAAACAGGAGACCTGAACTACTAGGCCAACAACCTAATGCCTGCAAAGTGGCTAGTTACTTTGAAAAATTGATAAATGGATGGTCTCCCTTGATTCAAACAATATGTGTAGGAATGGAGACCCACTTGAGTATTCAGGGGCACTGGTATGGAAACCTGCTTGGCACAAAAAGAAAGCTAGAGTCAGATTTAAAAATGGGACCTTCCTCTTCCTGTTTTTCCTTATTCCTGACTGATGATGGAACAGCTTAAAACTCTACATAATGGGCTAAGAAGTTTTCTTTTAGAGATATTGGCTGATTTAATCTCCAGGATTTAGACTTATAAATGAAATGAAAATTAGTCATTAGACTATAGTTTTGAAATGTAATATGGAAAGGGGTTTGTGATAATGAAAGACAGTTTATTAGTAAATGATGAGCTATTAGGACGAGAATTAGAATATACTTTTGAAAATATAACTATTTGAATAATATGTGTATTTTAGACATGATAATTATTTTGTAACGAAATTAGGGAAATTTGGGTTATCCGAAGTTTAAACATTATGGTTATTAAAGGCTAAATTGGAATATGTTAATCGGAAATAGGTAAAATTTTAAAACAGGACTTGGATATGTACAAACAAAATTATATTGCCAAATGTCTGGGCTAAAATTAGAAATGTATTAATTTGAATTTGATACAATAATTAAGGGAAATAGAGAGGGAGTTTTTAATGACGTAATCTGAGATATGTATGAAAGATTTTGTTATTGGACTATTGACTACCCTACCACAGTGCTGCTCCTTAAATACTTGGCTGTAAAATTGAAAAACTAATAAAACTTCTTAAAAAAACATACTGTAAAATACTTACATTTGCCTTGCTGCATAATATGTAGCGGTTAAATTTGGTTAAACTTCTGTTGTAAATATATGGTCTTAATTTTGCCATTATTCTCCAAGTTTTAGTTTCCAGTCTGATATCTTTGGTAAAGTTCCTCTTTTCCTCGCAACATATATTTCAGTAAATATATATTTACTGAACATATATTTCAGTAAATAATTATACTTTTGTTTTGTTTTGTTAAAATGCTTTAGAGTTATCCCTAGAAGAATTGTGACTTCATTTCTAAACTGATTTCTAATATTTTCTAACTAGCACTATGTATTTCTTTCTGGTACTTTTGAGTTATTTTACATGTCGACTTTCTAA